CTACTAAGTCTCCCGGACAACAAGACCAAGTTGCGACAACGAGGTCAACCCACTTCTATAAATCAAAAGGCGACTGCGACCATACCGGGGGCCCTATCATCTTGGTCTTCATATCTTCATGAATTTAGGTTGATAGCATAATTGCCTAGCCAAAAGATAATGGTAAAAAATAATGATCTAAAACAACTAAATTGTAACATTTCATCTAAAATGCATCAAGTTTACTTCGAGCTAAACAAATTTAAATATAGCCGTGACATACACTGTAAAAATAGAGAATGTATATAGATTAACCATGGTTGAGAGCAAAGGGTAATAATGCTCAGGATGGTTCACAGAATGATATGGTAGTACAGTAAATAATAAATGTATTAATACTATAATGGAATACATTAAATAATAGTCATGATCTAGTCCTGGTAATTTGCAAAGTTTTACAGCCAGTTTAACTTAGGCGGTAGTTAAATTTAATTACAATGCCACGTCCAGGAATTATGTTACATACTTCAGATCATTTACTATTCATTGATTCATAAGAGATCTTCTTTCATTCCTGTGTTGATTCTTTAAGCTTTTTCCTCATTATAGCTTTGTAATGAATCAAATTATTTCAGAGAATATACGTCAAGATAATTTTGGCTCATCAGCCTTAAGAAAAATGGTATTGCCTCTTATTTATTTAGTAGGTCTTGCAGCTTCTTGGCCAACCCAAGGGAAAACAGACATATCAATGAATAGATATCTTCAGCCCTTTTATTGATTCTATATAATTTACATTATCAAGCCTTTGAATAAATTCCACTAGTTAACAAGTAAAAAGAGGCTAATTATTAGTATCTCAATTGTTAACCAGGCAGATTTCAATAAGGAAATAAGGTTCACGATGGAGATGGATAAATAAGGTCAGCTAGCTTGGATGCTGACTTGATTCGCATGGAATGAACTCCTGAAAAGGTGCTTTTGAGAATTATATTATATACTTCAGTACAATTAAAATGACGCGAAGTAAATGAACATATTGAGCGAGAGTATATTTATGCGCTTTAGCCTGACCGTACCATACTGTTTGAGAAAAATTTCTAGAGCAGCCCGAATTTGCTTTGTTAATGACTGCGAGAAATCTGCACTTTAGAAAATCGTCAAAGTAAAACGACATAAGTAGCCAAATAACTTCGTAGCATTTAAAGATGGGCCAAAAGATTATTTGGTTAGAGAATCTTCGATAATATATTGAAGGCTTTTCGAACTATCCGCAATCATTACGAGTTCAGATTCCCTCGAATATTTAGTGTTAAATCAGAGGCTATTGCTGAGTAGAGATCAGCTCGTTAAAAATTAAGCAATTAAAATAGTTTAATAAGATCGAGATTATTTCCGCATTGTATGTTTAGCATATAGGTGCTTTAAGAGTAAACAAAACGTGGAATCATTGCGAAACAGTAACTAAACAAGGGGAAGAATGAATGAATGCATGCAGGCGGTTTAAAAAGGCTTCGTTATACTCTGACTAAGTCTGAATGACCATCAAGGAAACTCCAGATCATTCTGGAAATGTGATTGGATAGAAATTTTCAGTATATTCCGGAGGGCAGAAATGTTCATCAAGTTGAAAGCTTCATAACAAGTCAAAATTTGGTTGGGAAGATATCTCTGTTAAATTAATTTTACAGTGTCTAAAAATTAGGATCATGCGTAGTAAGGAATTCAACCTGGGTTTCTTGGGAAAACATTTTAGGGCATGATCGAGTAATGTTCAGTAAGATGCTATTTCGCTCCTCAAGAATATTATGAACTGTTCATATGATCTCAAATCAGCAACCACAAAGATCGAGACTGCAACTAAATAGTGACTTATAGGATAAGCAAATGCCCTGATAATTTCCGCATCGCCAGTACATCCCGATTTGTCTCAACATCTCTGGTTATGGTGAGGAGACCAGAATAGGCCTCTAATACGGCACTTGTTGCATCGTCCAACTTAGGCTTGACAAGCTATGAGAAAATAACTCTATTGAGTAGGTCTGTTGAATAAGGGCTTGAATAAAGTATCAGAGTAACTTAAAATTTTAATTTGTAGTGAGAATCAATTTTTTTCCATAACACAAAAATAATTAGAGGGAGCAAAGAATAATGGATTGGAACTCGGTGTTTCATAATGAAATAAGTAATTATTAAACTAACTGTAGGTATTGATTCGACCTCGTTTTCGCAATTTGGCCAGAAGGTCAGGGAAACCTTGTGGAATGTGCCTAGTCCTGTGTCCTCTGCCATAGTATCCGTGATTCCCAGCATCGGACAAATGGCTTGGTACATTCAAAAATGAATCGGCATCGTCAGTCAGAGGAGCAATAGTTAGCGCAGAGTTACAACTTATCAAAGTGACATGAAGGTATAATAAGAAACAGGGGCGAAGAGTGATACCACAACGTTTGAACAGAAAATTGGTCAAGGAGATTGCCTTCGCTTACCACTTTCATAAGCACTCTACTAACGATGGTATCTCTCACTGACGATGCTTGCAAAACGCATGGAAATGTGCCAAGTCCGATACTCGAAATCACAAATACTGTGGCAGATAATACAGGACTAGATACGATCCACAAGGTTTTCCTGATCATCATATCAAATTGCGAAAAGGAGGTCAAATCAACATTATAGAGGTGAAGGAGACTGCGACCAAATAGAAGGCCACACCATCTTGGTCTTTATATCTACAATAGCTTTAGGTATTTCGATAATAAAGCAAAGCTATTTTTCCTGAGATATAGTTAAATTGGCAAAATTGTGATGCTTACAGCCTAAGAGAGGATTGGTATTGCCATACCGGTTAAATTCTGCTTGAAGTAATTTCTTCGCTTATATAACAATTAAAAAAAAGGAACTTATAAAGTTACTTTTCCTATAAAAATAATAACTAACAAGCTCAAGAGCGAGATCCACGAATACGAAGGTGCCCGACCGGCCTACACCCGCACTACAATGAACGATAGGTGGCTTGTCTGGACTATCCAGTGCTCCAGACTCCCTGACTCTCCAGAGAAAATTCAGCATCCCAGCGGGAGAGGTAGGCACGCCGAAGTCTGGCCAGTTGATATAGTGAAAATGATTCACCAGGCGTCTCTCAGATGTCTATAAATATTTATTTAAATAAGTATTTTTAAAGTTTGTATATAAGGAATAATTAGTGTGGAGAAATGATGAAAGAAAAAGAAACTCTGTATATATGCGTCAGAGAAATGCAAGTATCATAATTGCAGACCACGGGTTTGGCTGCATATGAAGAAGTGAGAATTTAATTTACTGGTATAAAAGAAATATAGCATCATACTTTTTCCTGAAATTTGTGCTAGATGTTTGGGCATGTAAATAAGTGGTTCGAAAAACAAAAAAATCAGAACGTTTATGAATCCGTCATAGAGTCAAGCAAGTTGATAAATAAAAATTGATAATTTCGGCTGCCGAGCTGGCAATTTGATAAATTTTAGCTACCTGCACTGAGACAGATCAAGCAACCAGACATCGACAAACATATGTGCAAGAACAGTTTATTCATTGTTAAAATCTTGTGGCAAGCAGCATTAGCGGGTCGAATTACTTAGAAGAGATGCAAGGGAAATCACACATTATTACGCTTTCTGGTAATGAATCAGAAGAGATGTATACTTTAAATTTATGAAAATGAAAAATGAGGTCAAAAAGTATTATCTTGTACATTTTTATAAAAGATGTAATTCGTTTGCGAATATGACCACCGTTTCCCCAGAAAAAAGTGGAGACGGTCATGAATAGCTATGATAAAAAATAAGCAACTGAATAAGATACGCCTTTTAGAAGAATGCAAGTCTTATCCTAACTAGAGATTTAAGTGTCGTTAAGGGTTGTCTTCAGTTTTGAGGGAGCAGCTGATAAAATTAGATTATAGTGAGGTAATAACTTGGCTGTAAATGATATGGATTTCAAGAATTTTTTCAGCCAATGTTCTTTCTAACATTAATTAAGAAATTATATGAAAGTCCGACTGATCAAGGCTATAGAATATTAATTTTTTATCGTTCCAGATAGTCAAATTGATAAGGTATTAAAAACTAAAAGGATCCAGTTTAGCACTGCTTCAAAGTTTATTTGGGACTGACGATTGCATCTATGCCTATAGGAAACCGTGAGGTAATTCGTCAAGAGTTACTAGGCAAAATTAACTTAGGCTGCATTATCGGCAAATATTGGCTGTTGGTTCCTTATCAAGTGGAATTAAATTCTTTATGGTAACCATAAGATATAATGGACTCTCATGAGTAACAGTAAATGTATACGAAGAAAAGTTGGGTTTCGAGGAATCTCTTGTTTCATAATTGTTGAGCTTACTTTCATTTCTTCACCCAACACTTTAACTCGAAATGGAAGTAAGCTCAACAGTAACGGTAAATGAACAAGATTTGTTTGAGGAAAACAAGCCTCAATGTAATTCTGTCCTTAATAAAGACTTGTGAAAATGCTCAAAAAGCGTTCGAACCAGTCTCATATTGCGTGAAACCAAAATGAGATATTGCTTAGCCAAATATCAATTTGTGAAGAAATCATATAGAAAAAAAATGTGAGCAGGCTTAGAAAGATATAAAAAATGTAGAAACCAAATTCCTCTATATAAGCAGAAAATTCAATGTAATGAATAAATATGACGATTAAGAACAAATAGGTTTGTCTCCTGGACGCATTGTAAGCTAAAAGCGGATATAATAGTTCTAGTTCTGACGATGTTTGCCATATGACAAGCAAAGCACAGTAAATATTCATCTAAACCGTAAGTGTCCCGAG